TAATCGCGCTGCTCTAATCGCGCTGCTCTAATCGCGCTGCTCTAATCGCGCTGCTCTAATCGCGCTTGAGGCGCCGCAGAACTTCCCGACGTTGCTTGAAGCGCGTCCACCATAGACTTTGTATGTAAACCTGCTGCTCCTGACGCTGAAATCGCGTTCGGTGTGAACGCACCATAAGATGATCGGATTAAATGTTTAYACGCTGTTTGGATTATCAATCGGCATAAACCTCTCTCATTCCGATTACAAATTCATTCGGATCAAGCTGAATCGGGTCGGAATAATCCGAATGGGGCGTTTACATGACGCATTTTTATTCCCAATGGCCGTTTAATCCGATTACTTATGTCCATGTAAACGTAGCTATGGTGAAAGAGGAGCTGGTAAAGTTAGAATAAGGAGTAATTCAGACCAAAGCTTTGTAGTTCCACTGTATAAAGACCCCAACTGCATGATTTAAATGTGAAAAGGAAGGATTTAAAATCATATGTCTACTTTAAAACTTAAAAAAATTCAACGACATCCAGGCACAAACTTCATTCATGGCAGTCAAGCAAGTTTTTGATTAAAAGTAGATAAATCTGTGTGTCGTCTGCATAAYGTTTGATATAACATGCTTCCTGAAGATGGGATGAAGTGGAAGCAGGTATATAGAAAATAAGAGGGCCTAAGATCGATCCCTGAGGAACTCCAAAGGGCTTCAGTCCGAAGGAGTTTGGGAGTTGTATATTTGTTGGGTGGGGGACGTCTGCCTGTCTTTTGCTGCTGTATTAAATATGGTGATCATTAAAAAAATAAAGGTTTCGTAAATGATCATAACTCTGGTTTTAATTGGGCTATCAGCACCATTTCAAAACTGGTTTATAGTTTGAAGTCACTTCTTTTGACACAAAGTGAAACAGACTCTCAATGAGGCGTCGTGTGACCAGGACGTGGCAGCGTGTCCAGGGTCTCCAGTGGGTTAATYGTCATATTAATCGTTATGGCCGCGATCATCGCCCAGTCCTGTTTCTACCATTTATGTGCTTCCAAGTAAAATGTTCAAGCAAGAATATCAGATAAGAAATAAATTAAAAAATAAAACAGAATCACTGATCAATGTCTCGCTCATTCATCTATTTGTCCTTGGGTCATGTTCTGTGTGTATTTGATGTTGATAGCGTGAGAGCGCGACCTTGATGTTGGCCTGGCTCTACCGACCACACCCTCTGCTCTGATAAAGTTTTTTTTTAACGTAGCCATAATGTCTGCAGAGTTTAGAGGAAAACATTACCAGGAGTGAGAGCGAGCTGTTATCTATGAGCTAGGAAGGCACTGCTGCATCCTCCACGACGTGACCGGTGGCAGTTTCCACCAATTAGTGCTCTAATTTCTTTTTCCCCTTCATTTTTTAAACATTATTAGATTGTGACTGAGCTCACTTCATGGGTTCCCCTGATAATCTTAGCTGCAGGAGAAGTTATCAGGCTTGTGTAACGGGTCTGTTTTTTTTAATATATATATATAGGGAGATATTGTGGGCTAAATTTGAACACAATTGCAGCTGATAACGGAGCAGAGCGGCTCTTTGATAAGGTCTTCAGCTCTGTAATGAGACTGTGAAAGCAGAAATGAACTTTTCCCATGGTGCACTTGCTTCAAACGATTAATCTGCACTTTTTCAGGATTGTCTCTGAACATGTTTTTTTTATAAACAACCGAACACTGCTGACTTTTTTGATGGGATCCATGATTACTTGTAACATTAGACTTTATTTAATAAACATATATTATTTAATAAACATATATTTTAACTGTAAAATAAAGACCGTAAAAATACTGTAGGCTGTTCAGTTTTTATCATTTTAAACTAAGTTTAAAAATATATTACACGGATGGAACCATTTTATTTACACACAAAGCATTCTGGGTAAATGAT